TTCAACACAGAAAAATGTAAAGGAAATTTCGAGTGTGTGGGGAAACAGAGAAATTTTATCACTTGCTTTTCTTGTGGTGTTAAAGGTCATACAAAATCAAAATGTTATAAATTTTAAAATGTGAAAATTAAAAGCATATAGGACAACCTTCTAGTCTGCATAAACCGGAGTCTAAATTCAAAACTAAGCAAGTTGGGTTAGAAAGACTGATTTTAAATGTTTTGAAGGTGAAGTGATCTGTGTTGTATCCACTCAAACTAAGAACCAATTGGCCTATTTAATCACTAAGGTTTAGATTCTGTTTTCTTTGAGGCTCTTAGAAAATCCTTAGAAATTTTTAGTGTCCATTGTTTCTTGATTTTGAACTCGAAGTGTAACCTGCCTCATGTTTTTTTAGCTTGTTGATTGCCTCATTTAGTTCATCATGCGTTCTTTGCTGTGATTTTCTTTAGAATGAACTGCATTCATATTTAAAATAGGAAGAATTGAAATGATCAAAGTTCACACGAAATTGATTCTAGATGGATCTTGTGAGTTAGACATTGCATATGGATGGACTGGACATTTTTAGAACACAATGCGCCTTGTTTAAATAATCCCATGTGTGGACATTTAGACTTGATTTATTTTACCGATCAATTCACTTCTTTTGATTTTTGAAGTGGCATGATCAAGCCTATAAACCCTTAGTAAGCACCAATGCTTCTCGACATTACAATGCGATTTAAGTGTTACGTGAAAGGCCACCAGAATTGAGAATTGCCAGCTTATGTGCTTAATGCTAAATTCTAGTATTCAGTTAATTCATCGTTGTGCAAAAGATGCTTCTGAGGTTCTAAAAGATAGATATGACCTTAATTATAGAAAAAATCTTCTTGCTTGACATAATTGGTATTTCATATATATAAGCCACTCAGATGTCAACTGGTTAGTAACACAGGTAGGTTCATGGACTTGGATTTAACTGAGTGTTTGACAAATTTCGTGTATTAAATACAAAAGTCATTACAAATTGTATTTTTTTAGAAATACAAGTGGGTGTTAATCTTCTTGTGACTGAAGAACTGCAAAATCCTCTGATTTGATCTGAGAGTTTGAACACGAGGGACCACGTGGCTTGAAATATATCATGGACTTCAAGATTTGTTGGATATTGGATTTGTTGACAACTTGGCTTATTTGACGCTTGAACTTCATGGCTTGAATTTGCATTTCGAGACTTAGACATAAATTTGATTTAATTTGGAGAAGACTTTGATCTTTTAGACTTATCTTGGATTTGCTTGAATTTGAAGAAGATTTTGATCTTCTTGGTGTTTCTGGACTTAGGCTTGTTCTCTTACACCAGCTTTAAAACTTCTTCTGCACTTGTGATTTTTTCCTATAGTCTTCACTTGTGAAATTTTGTGTTGAGAACCAAGGATTGGCTCCGTCGACCATCTAAGGCTGCGGGTCATTTACATATTTGGTAGACTTGTAATTTTAGTTAATAAATATAAAAATATGAATTCAAAATATTTAATGTCCAAAAAAATTTTATTGCTTATCTTTTTGTTTACTAATTTTCTCATTATTTATTTATTTATTTATTTCGTAGGAATGACTAAGATAAACTCTAATATAAAGTATATTCTGATATGCACGAAATCGTCGAGTTTAAAAATTAAGGTAGAAGTTATCTTGGTTTTAAAGATACTGATGTGAAGTACAATGGCTAGTTCAACACGCAAAGTGAACTTAAACTAAGCATCCATAGAGCAACGACGTCTCCTTCTCCTGATCCTTCCGAGCCTTCGTCGGAATTGCATATACCTATCGTGAGTGAATGCCATGAAAATTTGGATGCTGCCCAGTCTAGGTGTTCTAAATCATGGAGCTCATCCCAAGGGCAGTAGCTTTGAAAGGTTGACAATAAGAAAATACAAGAGAAAAGTTCACATGTGGTCGTGGAGAGATTTCTTATCTTCTAAAGTTTTGGGAGTGATCTACTTTGATCTAAAAACTCCTGCTGAAGAGAAATCTTCACGAGTTAACGTCTGCAGTCACCTCTGCTACAAAAGATATCATCTTCCAAACTCTATCTACAGAACTCTTTATGAGGTTTGATGTCCAGATACTAACACTTTTGTGACTACAAGTGGTGAAATTGACATTTCTCTTTGGGACATCCGTGAGATTAGCAGACATTAAATCATGTGTCATTATTATGAAAAAGTAGTCCTAAGCCTTTTAGAGTTGATGGACGATCTCCCTAAATCTTGCTTGTAACTTTGTAATGTTTTCTCATTAATTACTAATGAGAAAGAATTCGACTGCGTTATTCATGCTCTGTAGGTTGAATTCTGGTTTCGAAAAATTGGTTGTGTCCAAAATCCTCGACAAAATAAAGTTCATAAAAATGCCATGAATTTAAATGTGTTAGCAAAGGGGCACCAATAGAAATAAGGAAGCCCGTGGTTATAGACAAGCCGAATGATATTTCTTGTTGAAACTGAGGTCATTGAAGTGATTTGGCAATATCTTTGTCTATAGAAGAAGTGGAAGAGTTAGAAATATCATCTTATCTCTCTTTATGGCTTTGTCATTTCATTCTTCCCTCCGGGGAGGAATGTATGAGAGTTAAGACTTTTAAAGCATCTTTTAAGATGGCTACCAAATTCACTTATTGTCTAGTTCCTCCCATATTAGCAAGTATTTACAAGGAAGTCACGTGAATGTCTAACTGCTTATCAAGCTGGGACCTTGCAAAATTTCACATTCATTTCCCAGACACGCTTTGGTTCAAACTTATTTTGTCTGTGGTATTTTTAATCATGTAGATAACAATTTTTATTGTCCTATTATCCAAAGATATGCAGGCACTTTCAGTGCTTTCCAATCTTGGGAGATTAATGTCATTGATTGTCAGACCTTATTCGAGGATAAATAGACGTTGAAGACTTTTTGCTGGAATCCACTTCCCTCACCATCTTATTCTGGAGTACGAGTTGATGATTCACCATGGTCTATAGATACTTCAGAATTTATGATGAGTATACGATCTGAATTTGTTTCTTATCATCAAGGATCTTCTACATTTATTCTTGATGCATGTAATCATCACAAGTTTACGAGACAAGATGGCTTTAGGTAGAAACTTCCTGATTCACCAAGAAAGGTTGATATTATTCCCAATGTAGTCAACAAGTATCATGTTTGGTTATCCTTGACTCAGACAATAAGTGGATCTAATTTCATGTTCCAGAGTATAAGAAGGTTACACTTCAAGAAGTTTATGTTGAGTACTAAGATTGGTAGAATAATTAAATACTGTTAAACTTGACGAAGGTTCAAGTGTGGGTTTTATCTTCTAGTGAGATTCGTGGCTTTGTTCTTGATCTAGCTTCGAGGAAAACAAACTGGGTTGTAGCCAAAGGGTTAAACTCTCCAAATGTCATTCCTGAAGAGACTTCTTGAAGAGGGAACCAAACCTTTGAAATGAAAGAGGTATTAAAATAATTAAATTTATAGTTCCCTCAACAAAGTTTGCTTCTACCTCTAAGCCTATTGATAAGATACCTGAAGTAGTTTTGATCTCATGTAACAAACTTCAATTTCAAACTCCTTTTTCTTGAATATATAAAATGAAGCGATCAGTACAACCATGGCCACCTCAAGCTATTCCAAGTATTTCAAAATGTGATCTCGAAACTTCTTACATTAACATCAGTCTCTCGGATACACCATGAGATAGCGAATTTTTAGACATCTCGCCTAGAACATGAAATGTGGGTATGTTCTTTATTCTTCTTTGTCTATTTTTTTTTTTCAAATGATCTTTCATTTTTTCTTTTATTTGTAGATTTTCCAAGCGTTCCTAAAGGATTGAATCTTGAGAATGATGGGAGAATCGATGCACTTCGTACTTATGATTTTCAAGGCACTTAATCAAAGTACTTTGGCATTTAACATAGACGATTAATGAAAGTACTTTGGCGTTTAACATAGACAATTTCAATAATGAAGATGAAGTAAATTCTAAGACTGTGAGAGCTATCATTTGAAAGATCAATCAAGAAGTCTCAACTATTCCATCTTCATAAGTGTTAATGTATTTTCATGATATCGCTTTATGTTCTAAATTAAGGACTTCGTACTCAGCTAAAAGTTGGTTGATTATCAATTTACAATCTCCAAATACCTCTAGCTGGTGGACATCCATATCTAATGTTGTCACTAAGGCAATGATAAGAGCTTGATATTCCGCCAACATTT